CTCTGGCTCCTCGTTGCGGTGTCCCTCCTAGATTACGTATATATTTATACACGCACATACGCACGCGCACACACTCATACGATTAACTAGGCACACGTATTTACTCGAGTATAGCGCAGCTCAGCATTTTTCGATATTTGCCTCGAACAAAGCAGAAATATCAGATATATAGATATACTTGTGACTTTTGCACACAGGTATACCGATGAATCTGTATATACTCGCGCTCACGCGCGCACGCACACATACACACGGGCGCGCACATTTGCGGAAAAAAAAATTACACATATATATATATATATATATATATATATATATATATATACTTAAATATATTTAGCCAGAGAAAACAGTTACTTCACGCACATAAACACACTGCAAAGCATATTAAGGATACTTGTCCTGCAGGATACGATGATTATTTTTTAACGTGCAGATCGTTTGTGCGGGTGTATGACCGCGGCCGAGTATGTACGTGTATGTGCGTGCGTTGTTATTTTTTATGACGTGTGCCCGCGCGCTCTTAGATATGCAAGTGTGCTTCGTACTTGTCTAGGATGTGATGCAAGTTGGGTATGGTATGAGTGACGACGACGTCCCCAGCGTTTGAGCCAGAGACACCGTGCACATACCGTGATCTTATGTGTTACACTAAACTCGGGTTTCAGAGTTGCAGTTTCGTGCCGTGTACACTTCGTCTGCGCGACTTTTCTATCTATCTCTCTCTCTCGCGCGATTCATCATTCTGAACAACTATCCTCGTCACTCCTTCACTCGTCGTTAAGTTTTATACGCGTGGCGCGGTCTGCCCTCTCTACTGTACCCTCCCTTATTGACGCTGTCTCTCTTTTTCACGAGCTCGTATATAGCGAAGATTATCGGTAACCGAGAACGGGGCGAGCGACATCTGGAAAGTTCGTAAAATGACAGTACTGGCATTGCGACTACTAATCCTGACCGTCAATTCACAGCTCTGGCTTCTCCAACGTTAATTTAATTCGTAGGTAACCGTTTGATATTTCATTACAAAAAAACGATGTATCATCCTTTCGATTTGAAGGGGAATCGATCAAATAAGACATTTCTTTTTCCAGGAAATTTATCTTACATTTTTAGTTCATTTTTATTCGTAATTTCACTCTTCATTTATTCTAATGTTACGCGCGTATTTACATGTGCATAAATAGTGTGTATATATAATCTAAAGTTAAAATTGCAAAACACATAGAATATTATAGATATTTATCAAAGAAGGACATTATTTTAGGACTTTTCTTGTTTCACATAAAATAATATTCAAAGTATACAAAGCTCTTGCATAATAAATAATTCAATGTTTAAATTGGGATGGCTTTCGTATTTGGCGATGGCTGCTATTAATACTAATACGTCCAAGTTACCCAAACCCTGCAGAATAGATTTTTTTAATTTCTGATCGTTATATGCTTATCAATGACTACAATATTTTTCCCATTTCTTCATATAACTAGATGATCTTTAACTTACATAAATAAATTGCATATATATACCATAATATTATTAATATTTATCAGGCCTAAAGTTTATTACAGCTTCAAATCTGTTCCATTGCTATATAAAAACTTAATTTTATTGATAAATATTTTGTAATAGTATAAGAATGTGAAAATAGATAGATACTCATTTGATTCATTATTTATGTATGAATAAAGTAAACGATAAGATAACATTTTACATCACAATGTATAGTCACTTATGTCCGCTATAATAATTATAAAAAATTTTTAAAACATTTATACGAAAAAATTTAGTTTTATTTTTTAAGATAGTACTAAAAAAATTCATAGTATTCATATACATTCAATTTAATAAAATAGTGCCCATAAAGTATGTAATACATATATTTCATATTAAAATATTAATATTTAATAAACTTTTATTTTATAAATTAAATTAGAATATTAATTTTATAAATTTAAAAATTTTATTTCTAATATTCGGCGAATCCGTATTATGGGAACATTTAACAATATTGTTAATGATATTTTGAATTATATGTTTATATGTTTTAGTATAAAATCAAACTATAAAAGTAATGAACAATTGTGATATAATGTAGATTATACTTGAAATGTATATAATAAATGTCGCAATGGTAAAATAATATCTATGCATTAATAAAAAGTACAAATATTTCTTTAATTATATAACTATTAATGTACACTTATATTCAACAACATTATTAATCAAAACATTCATGTATATATTGTTAACGTACTATTATTAGACTAAGTGAAATTCAATTTTTACTACTAGAAATATGCTAGATTGTAATAATGCTTTAAAATTTTTTAAATATTTGAAAAATTTTTCCTAATGCAATTAACAAATTAATTTTTTTATAATTATGTATTATAAATAAATAAATTTATTGTAACATACAGAATATATATAGATATTGCTCATTTATTTAATATTTGATATTAATTTTTAACTTATAACATATTAGTTTATAACAAAAAAAAATTTAATCACAACCCATATTAATTTTATTCTAATTAATGAGTTTTATTCATAATTAAAATAACATTTATTTATTAAGTACTTTTATGTTAATTTTAAAAGTTAAATTTAAAGCACATTATTTTAAAATTTTAAGAAATATTATGTAAAGTGCTTAAATTTTTTTTTAATAGTTGCAATATTTATATTTTATAGATGGAATATTTGAATATTTGTACGTGTATATCAACAATTTAACAAAATAGTATGATTTTTTTAATTAACAACCGAAATAATAATAATTGTTATTGCATATTTATTATTTAAATAATAATGTGATATAAAATTTTATCTAATAAAATATGCATGCATTTCGTACATAATAATGTCTTTCTTTAATACTGTTTACAAATAAACAATATCTTGAAAATAGGAAGTGGTTTCAAAACCTACACTATTATTATTTTTTTTATTTTTTCTTATTTGGAACTAAAAAGCATTACAAATAAGCAAATGTTTACGTTATTGCACTAAAGTTATAATTTATATAAAATAATTTTAAAACTATTTTTATTAAATGGGTTATATTTATTTCCATTAAAAAATAAATGTTAGCTTGTCTCAAAAATTTATACACTTTATAGAAATTTTTAATTATCACATAATGGTTAATAAATATTTTTTTTCTATTTTTAGATAAGAATATTAATTCTAATACTATAGGATCATTATGTTGGTCCTTATCCTGGCTGCTATACACGTACTTGGATGACACTTCTTTTTTTCACCTACATATTTGACTTTTGAACGGTATGTAAATGACGTCAGTCAGTAACGTCTATAGAATATTCTTTAACTGGGGTCGATTATAATGTTTTTAAAAGTTTTGGGTAGTGAAGCTAAGCATAAGAAAAAAATGTTTTGTATTGCTTGATTGTTTAAGATTTGAACGTGTTCCGATTATTTTAATAAGTCAATTCATTTATGAAATTAAACATGTGATTTTATAAAATAAATGTTAAAGCCTGTAAATGACTAAGAACATTTTTTTTAATATAAAGAAGTAAAAAAAAAATAAATAACCATAAGTTGTATATTTAATTCTAAAAGTTTTAAATTATTTGTTTTCAACTATTTACAAGTAAATATAATAAATACATTTTTACATGGTAAAAAATGCATAATATTGCAATAAAATATTAATTTACCATTATTATTATTAAAATACTCAAATATAATATTAATTTAATTATATATTTTTAAATGTGTAATTAGCCATTATACTTAACGTAAAATATTTAAATGTTAATAAAATTCAAAATCTTTTTTAAAAATGAATTTCTATAATGAATCAGCGCCATTATCATTCATTACGAATTTATCTTACATTAAATTTTTGTTAGGAAACTTTCTAGTTTCTATTTGCGTAAGACTTTCTTTTCTTTTCATTCTATTTTTTTATTTTGTTTTCGTATTTAAATATAATTATCCTTTAAATTAATTTTCTAAATTAGAAGAAAATTCTAATAAAAATAATATTTTATATTATTTCAGATTTTCAAAATTCAAGAGATTAAACCAATTGAATTGCTAATAATTGAAGAGTTTTATAAGTACAAAATGTGAATTTCAATAAAAGTAGTATTATCGAAAATGAGTCTACAGAGATATTATTTACAATTTCTATATAATGAACGAATAACATAAACTAAAATAATACCGCCTATATAAATTTATTATTTAAAGTTCCATTTTTTAAAATTTTTTTTATTACAATATTAGTATCTAAACGTAAAAATAAATAAAGAAATATGAAATTCATATTTGATAAATTCGAGAAACCACCAATTAAAATACTGAACAATAACTGTATCTTATTATAAATTGAGTTTACTATATCATTATAAACATAATGTTTCGGCTTAGCCTTGAATTTAAAACTAAAATTTTTGTCAAAAGCATCAAAGTTGAAAGTTAATGACGCATTCGTTGATTACAAGGCGGGTCCTATGAGTGGATTTGAGATTATTGTAGCACACTTGGTTAATACGTACCTGGCGATCGAATATCTTCTACGCAAAGAGCAATCAACACAAAGGCCAACGGGTGTAGAAATTTTAAAGTCGGCGCCGTTCGTCGTGATAAGGTTCGGCGGCAGGGGGGCGGGGCCACCGATGATGTTCACGATGGCGTCGGAGGAGAAGGAGAAGGCGGTCGATGAGGTGGTGGAAGATCCGGTGAAGGAGGCGGTAGCAAAGGTGGAAGAAGAGGATCGGCCTTTTGAAAGTCGGCTGCTAGCTGCACGCGAGCGTCTAAATACTTAAGATTAGTGAACTGATTATTGGAGATTGGGGACTTCGGTCGTGGGGATTTAGTTTTTGCCTCTACCACAAATAAGCCAAACGGCAACAGCAGAGTGTCGATCGTTTAGATTTCAGTATTCAGAACCAGACCGTGAGCCACTGCTGCTGTCGAATCCTCAGACCAAAAGACAA